GAGAGGAGAGAAGAGGAGAGGAGAGGTGAAGGGAGGGGAGAGTGCGATGGAGAGAACAGGGAGAGATGGCGGGGAGAGCGAGGTAGCGGGGGGATAGAGAGAAACATGGAGAGGGAAAGGACAACAGGGCGATGGAGGGGGGGAGCGGGGGGGACGGGAGGGCAAAGGGGGGAAAGGGGAAGAGGGAGCGGGGGGAGCCAGAGGAGCAGAAGAGCGAGGGGAAAGGTTTCTTCGATCTTACATCTGCTGCTCACAGTAGGAGACGTGACTTCTTTTCCTCTTTCCTCTCCCTAGAACGTCATCCTCCTTCTCCTGCTCCGCATAATCCTGCAGCAAGAAGTGAAGGTGTCAAACGATGTCGGCCATGGTAGGGGCATGCAAGAACACAAAGAAATATCTTCTCGATCATGCCATAGCACTACAAGACATCTGCTCCCAACTCAACATGTGTGTTCTTTGACGCAACAGCGCTCAATCTCGATTGACATTCTGATGTTTTCCCATCTCTCAGCAACCTGCAACTTCTCCAATGCTCACCTTGAGCAGTTCGTTCCAATACATCCGACTCTGAACCATCTGTTCATCGACTTTGCCCTCGTCCTTCACGGAACAAGTTCACCAAAGGAAAACAATCCACCGGGCAGTACCTGACCGTCCCGGGACTCAAAATCGAACTTCAGGCTTTCGTTGTAGTCTTCGAACGAATCTCCTGACAAACGGTGAGACGCGGGTAAGAGAAAACATTACTCTCACCATTCTCTGTATTCTCAATCTGCAAGAGCTGGTCGACGAATGTGTCTGAGTACTTGACTGATGCTTGTCGCTGCGGGTCAATCAGAGTTTGACCGTTGCTCCCTTGTCAAGATCGCACCGCCAGCGCCCTGACGACTTGCTGCGTCTTAGCATACGCCTGCTTCTTAGCCTGGTCCGGCTCCGGCAGCCCGCATGCTCCTCGCTGACTCCTTGACCTTCCAGCTGGGGCTCAGCAGCGGCAGCAGCAGCAGCGGAGGTCGTTACGTATCATCGGCCGTCTCGCACTCTAGAGCTCGGAGCTCCGACGTCAGGACTCGAGAGCACTTGGTAGACTGCCGACAGTCAGACTGACAGCTTGGCTTTAGCTGGAGAGGGGAGGTAAGCTGGGCATTACCTTGAGCTTCTGGTCGTCCGATACGATCTGCTTCGCTCCATACAAGAGAATTTCCTGATAGTCCATGAGCAGGAGCACGGACATGAGCCAGAGCTGGGCAAAAACAGCAGCAGCAGAAGCAGGGAACAGTTGGGAGCGGAGGCAGGTAGCTGGCGAGAGAAGGAGAGAGGGCTCCGGCGGGGAGGCAAGCGGGGAGGACCTCCGTCTCCTTGCGAGAGAACTTGCACTCTTGGTTGGCTCCAACCACAAGACTTTCAAGCATCAGCTTCTTCCTCGCTTGCGAAATGACCTTCTCCTGCAGCGATTCTCAGTAAAGACAATATTGTCATCCTCCTCCTCCTCATCATCATCATCATCATCATCATCATCATCATCATCATCATCATCATCATCATCATCATCATCATCATCATCATCATCATCATCATCATCATCATCATCATCATCATCATCATCATCATCATCATCATCCCGCTCCTCCTCCTCCTCCTCCTCCTCCTCGTACTCCTCCTCCTCCTCGTACTCCTCCTCCTCCTCTCCTCACCTCAACAGTGTTGATCGTCACAAGTCTCAACACCAGAACATTATTCTTCTGCCCGATCCTGCCCCTCAGTCAACAACTCCCTCCTTTCCCCAGCTACCAACCCACCTATGAGCCCGACTGAGCGCCTGCAGCAGGTCAGAGCCAACGACTAAGACATTTGACATGCCTGGAGGTCTCGATGTGGGTTGAAGTCAGAGTCGTACAGAATGACTGTGTCCGCCGTCGCTAGATTGATGCCCTTGCAAAGAGACAGTCAGAAAGAGGGAGAGAGAGACGAGAGGAGAAAGTGGGAGAGGTGTGATAAGGACAGTCGAATGAAGGGAGGAGGGAGGGAGCAAGAAGGGAGGAGAGAGAGAGGAGGGAGGCGCAACAAGGAGGGAGAGAAGCAGAGAGGAGGGAGAAGGAAGAGAAAAACGAGAGCAGGAAGAACAGGGAGAGGGAGGAGGGAAGAGGAAAGAGGGAGGAGGGAGGAGGGAGGCACGAAGGCATGGAGGCACGAAGAAAAGGGAGGAAGCAGGAGGATAAAGGAAGAGGGAAGCGCAGTTACTTGTCCTCCAGCTCTTGTGGATAGCAAGAAGATGAAGTATTCACTCTCAGGGTTGTTGAACTGCAAGTCAAGTCAGCGCCAGGCAGTCAATCGACCGTTGAGATTCCTCGTCAATTCGCGCTTGCCTCTCGTCGCCCTTGAGGTCGCCGTCAAGCCGGAGGAACTAGATACCACGTCATCATCGTCGAGCCCTCCAGGTAGTCAGCCCGTACCTTGAAGCTCACCAGCTCAAGATAGGTCTCTAGGATATCGAGCATGATCTGTCGCTGACGTCAGCATGGACAGGGGAGTAGGGGGCTCGTCACCTTGAACTGAGAGAATATGAGGACTTTGCTTCCTCTCTCCTTCAGTTTGGGGAGGAGGAGATGCAGCAGCTCAAACTTCCCTGCGAGTCATGTCAAGAGATGGTCGGAGTGAGCTCGATCACACCAGACGCCTGGACGAGATGAGCTAGAGTGTCGTCGGGGTTCTTGTGGTGTTTGACGGCAGAGTCGAACAAGTATGCATGGTTGCTGTGAGAAGAAGAGTTAGAGTAGAACAGAAACGAACTGTTGAGATGTAACCAGCACTTCCTGAGTTCCATCAACACATTGTTGAGAGAGACATGACGGTTGTCTTTGTTCCTCCCGTTCAGGACGTCAAGATTCTTGGCAAGGATCGCTGCATAGAACGTTTTCTAATCTCCACGTGTCAATCTCGCATGCAGGGACGATGCAAACGATTCTTCACTTGGATATCCGTCAAACTGATCGGCACAGTCTTCTCTACCTGCAGCTGGCTTCAGACTGGTTGCTACACTCTAGAGTTCCCCTACCTTGGCTTTCAGGTGGATCTTGACATCTTTTTTGAGGCGTCGGAGAATGTACGGCTCGAACAACTTGTGTATCATTCGGATCTACCGGCCATCGCTCAGACTCGAAACCTGTCAGGCAGCAAGTCTCCTCCTCCTACCTTTCCGTCGGCATCTTCATTCTTATACTCCTCCGTCTGTTCATCGAGACCTTGTCACTGGGTGTTGAGCAACGGAACCAACCATACTTCTTCAAGCTGCTGCAAAGTTGGGAGATCTTGTTGTTTATTCCCCTTGTTCAAGAAATTCTGACAAGCGCCACATGTGAAACGTTAGCCGGACATGGGAAATTTTTCTCACCATGAGGTTGAAAAGCTCGTTCAAGTTGTTTTGCAAAGGAGTGCCGGTCAGCAGGATCTTGTTCTTGGTCTACAACAACACAAAGTTTGATATCAGTACAACAACACAAAGTTTGACATCAGTACAACAACACAAAGTTTGACATCAGTACAACAACACAAAGTTTGACATCAGTATAACAACACAAAGTTTGACATCAGTATAACAACACAAAGTTTGACATCAGTTGCAAGACACAACGTCTTTTTCAACCTGCAGCTTCTGAAGCTGCGCATACAAGATGGATTCGTCATTCTTCAGCCTGAGCATCAGGTATCAAGTTGAATGTCTTGCAACACATCTCCTAGCAAGCGCTAGGGATTCACCTGTGGCCCTCATCGACGATTAAAGTATCCCACCGGACCTGACAGAACGACACGATCGTTACTAGAATCAAGGCATTCGTTACAAATATCAATCTAAGGCATGCAGGAAATTCCTCCTCTATTCTAGTCATTGCCTCTCTCCACTTCATACCCCCATCTTCCATCCTACTTGCAACATAAGTCTCCCTCCGCTCTTCAAACCAGATCTCCCTTCTGAAATCTAATAACATGTTCCTCCTCCCTTCTGGCGGAACATCAACTTCACCTTTGACAGCGCTGAAAAAGCTGACACGGCAACCTCGTAGCTCGTGCACAACACCTCAAACCGCTGCATGCATCGTTAGCCGATCGTTGATGACGACAAACAGCAGACCATGACGCCGAGTTTGAGCGGGTCAAACTCATGATCGATCATAACTTGTCTTCCTTTCTGTGAGTCATGAAGGACCGCGAAGTTCACGTCGGGACACCATTTCTACTTGAGAGCGTCAAGGCTCGGGGGACAGAGATTTTGACACGTTCCGACCTGGATTTCTCGCTTCCAATTAGCGATGGTGGAGAGGGGAACAACGATCAGGAAAGGGCCGCAAGTTCTCTTCTCCTCCACCTGCCCCCCAGCTGGTCAACTTTGCGGGAAATTCTCACCGGGAAAGAAACAAAGAAGCACAACCATGACTGATGCGATCAGTGACGCGATCTGAATTGTTTTTCCAAGTCCCATCTCGTCGGCGAGGATCACCTAAGGAAACAACCATCAGCGGAGCAAAACTGTCTTGTGACAGATTTCTCACGTTCTCTCCATCAAACCTCTTCTTTCGCAACCAGTTCAAGCCCTGAGATTTCTTGTTAATGTTCTAGTCCGACGATTTGTACATCCAACCCTAATCTGATAGTCATGCAAGGCTCCGTTGAGATACGACGGGCTCTCAAAGATCTCATGGTAAGCTGTCACAGGCTTCTTCTCTGATCCCTTCTGCTGCTTCGATCTCTTGACGTATCTTGCTTGAGCCGCTTGGAACTCCTTCACCTTCTCCCTGTCCTGCACTTTCCATCACCACTGGCACATCTCCCAGCAAACAAACACGTTGCAATGTGTTCACATCTTACAAACAACACTCTCACCCCAGGACTGTCAAGACTTGACTCGTCCTCCCACGTGCATTTTTCATAGCTGCATCCGCACCACTTGACAAGGTACTTGCTCCTGCCGTCGTGTCAGAGCAGCTCGCAGAGGACAAGTTCGGTACTTGTTTGACGAAATTATGCGGTCGATGGTCAACCAGTCACTCTGCATGCCGTCTTCTTGCTCATCTTACAACAAGACAATCAACAAAACCTCGCCATGGTTCAGTCCGCCAACAGCAAACTGAGGGAAGACACATCTAACAAAGTAACTCCCTGACAGAATATCTCCTGGCCATTCCTACATGTAACTTCTAACTCTCTGTACCTTCTTCAGACGAGCAATCATCCTCGTTACCCGCCTGTCCAGAAAACCAGCTCAGCTGCTGTGAAGGAGAAGGCAAGGCAGAAAGGGCTCACTCTTCTGTCATAGCTCAACAGCTTCTTGCGGGCGATGCACAGGAGGATCTGGTGGGGAGGAGAACTTTGAGAGAACAGCACGTGTGCTCGAGAGCCGAAGGCGTTACCTTGCGACCGATCCATTGAGCTTTACGATAGCTACAGTCATTCCACTTCTGCACAAGATCTGAGCAGAGAAGGCAACGGCAACATTGAAAAGCTACCACAAAGTACTCCCTAGCATTGACATCAGCCTGCGCGAAAGAATCATCATGCTGTCTTCTGACCATCACAGGTGTAAAACCTTGCCGTCACCCTTCTTCGGATTTTTCTCTGCTACCCTGAACGACAAGATCTCGTCGACCACCTGCAGCCCGTCATGCACCAGGCGGCATGCAAAGAGATTCGAAACCTGCTCGTCACCACTATGACTGATGGCTGTCAGCTTCCTGGCGACAGTCGAGGGGAGGGTCTCAGTATTGGCTGCCAACATCATCAACAACGTCACATCCAAGGCAAACAGCCTCCACCGCCCACCAAACATACCTGCCATCCACCCTTTGAAGAGGTCGAAATCAGATTCATCGTTGGAAGCGTCCGAAATCACCTGGAAGGACAACCCCACAAAAATCAAAGGATGCAGACAGACGTGATGCTGCAGACAGCCACGGACAACCAACCGTGTCGGGTAAGCGCTTGCACAGGATACTGTAGTTGATGACAGGTGAGAAATTTCTTTTCAACAACTGGTGCACTAGGAGCCATTCTGATCTTCCCTTGACAGGGCCGTCTTGGTATTTCACCTTTGTGACGTGTCACAGAGAGCAAGCATCATGCCAGCAAACTTTCCCACCTTGTACATGTTTCCATCTACCGGAATCTCTTCATCCTCATTATCTTCCGCCTTTGCGCCCGCCTTACAACGATTCTCCTTGCCCGCGGCCATCTTGTCCTTTTTCTGCATCACAAAGCCCGTCAGTGTACATTTGCCTCCTCATCCCTCAAAAAATCAGAGCTCACCCTCTTGATCCTCTCAATCACAGCATCGAAATATAGCGCATCGTCCTTGCGAACCTGAAAAGATCAAACGTTCCTCACAGGACTGCTGGCTGGTAGCAAACTCTCCTCACCCTGAACGCAAGGACCTTGGCTCCCACCTACCATGACGTCGTCAGCATTCGCACTCATGACAACAGCTCCTCGTCTCGCTCACCCTCAGGGGCCTCGTCAGGTTCATCTCGCACGGGTCAGACCTCACTCGAAGGTAGTGTATCGGTATCCAGCTGCCAACAGAAAGTCACACGACGGCAGCTGCTGATGCGCACGAGCATGGAGGAGGAAGAGGGAGCGGGGCAGTGAGTAGACCCACGTTTTTTCCACGGGCTCAACATTCTCAAACAGAACTCTCGCTTTCGATCTCCTCAGCTCGAGGATCTGTACGTCATACCTTGAACGGTAATCAGGGAGTTTGTCACACCAGGTGAAATTTACCATGCCCGTGTTGCTTCGTCATACGCTTCCAGCAGCAAACACTAGAAGAAGTCGGTAAGATCCCCTAGCTGACAGCGTCTAGGTAACGGCTCACGTCAGGTTGGGAGGCTCCTGCTCCTACTCTAGCCTTCTTGACTGGGCTGGGCTGAACGTCCTGAAAGGGATCAGCAGGGGGGATTGCAGGTATACGTTATCCCACCTCATCCATGAAGTCCTCCTCGATCTGTCTTGGCTCGATGGAGGAATCTGATACTGCAGCCTCTCCTCAGCCGCAAATACAGAAAGAAAGAACAAGGGACTTGGTTCTCACTTTCCTCTTCCTCGCTAGACGTCTCATCCCGAGCGCGAGCTGATCGCGTCTTGTAGGGTCTGACCTCGTCGGATCGGTCCAAGTTGGCGCTCCTTGTGAAGGTTCGCGTTTCATCCTCAGGGTCTGCAGATCGCTTCGGATATC